GTTTTCTTTCTGAATCTTGATTATGATTTTATTGCTAATTTTTATTAATACTACTTAAGTACTGTAATAGTACTGTATTCTTATTGTTTGGAATTTAACTTTATTTCGATACTATAACACTGTTTTATTTTAGTTAATTTCTAACTTGTTTTTTTGCTGCAATACATGTTTAAACATTGTACTCGCTTTAATTTATATTTATCATAATTGAGATTTGAATTTTGTATAATTTGATGTTATTCTTTTCTTTAATAATTTTTGTTTAATTCCCTGAAGTTTGACAATACATTCATGTTGTTACATAGTTGATTAAGCCTTTTCATGGTCATTATTGACATTGCTTTACACAAAAGGGGGTCAAACAGTAATGCTCATAGACGCAACCCCAGATGGGCAAATGGCAAAGGATATCTCTAGGATAATAATGTCAATTGGATTAAACATCAAAGTGGTTGAGAGGTCAGGAGAAAATGTCAAGAACATATTTGTCCAATCCATTCGGAAAAAAGAAGGAGGTAAGGCTAATTGTAAACAAAGAGAAGTGGTATATAAAATACAATGCAGTGGATGTAAATGAAGCAACGAGGGGCTATATAATATAGGAAAGACGGCAAGAAGCCTGGGAGAAAGATATAAACGAACATATAGGGAAATATAAGGAAAAAGATAAGAGCTCACCTTATGCAGTAGGTGAGTAGGTGAGTAATACAATTTGTTTATGCCCTTATTGTTATTACCACTGACACTAAACCTATAACGTTAAGAGGGTCGGAATGGCTAAAAATAACAGTAAAAAGCAATCCCTGATGTATGTGTTTAACTTTTCGTTACCTATTTTATTTTTTGTTCACTTTTATTGTAATTATATTATCCCTATGAATATACACTGTTTACGTACAGCATGGTCTTTGAAAGTTTCTTAAAATCAGCGTTGAATCTTGGTCGGTTATTTGAGTAATGCAGTAATGTAAAGTACAGTATGACATACATACAATATACCAGGGAATTGATTTAGAAGAAATTTCTATGTACAGTATTGTTGTAATGTTGATTTCTCACAAATATTTCGTTCATATTCAATAAAAATAAAAGTAATAGGCATATATTTATATAGCAATAAACATTGACTATAGGCCTATACTAATTCTGACCATATTCTATAATATGTCGTACTATTTATGTTAAAAGCTGTTTACCTATTTTAAAAAAATGAATAACTTATTTAAAACGATCGAAATCAGATGGAAGTAAAAAAAAATTATTAACAGAAAAAAAAAATCTTTTAAGTTACCAGCCAATGAATCATGTACAAGCATACAGCAAATAAGTTCACTGTCTGTTAATTGACAGGGATTTTTTTCTCATAAAAATGTTTAATTGTAAAACTGTAAGATAGCAACATGTGTCCGAAGTACTCACTCACTAAGGCGTTTGTCAACAAGAACAAAGCGTTTCCT